GGCCGGTCATGTTCAGGTTACACCTCCGAGTGGCCTATGTTTTGCCAGAGTGTTGATTAATTTCCGTTCCGGCAAATTTCAGGCGCTCGATATGTCCTTTTTTAGCAAAGGTCGTGCCGGATTTTTCCGTGAATTCTGGCATGACTTGTGCTAGAATATGTACAAGTTTAATCTTTGAATTATGAATGTAGGAAATGTCGTACTCGGACGACGACAGTCTCCCAGGGGAGTGTAGCTGGTGCCACGACGATCGAGGTATGTGCGATAGGTTTGTTAAGCTGGACGAAGATCGGCGCTTCAACATTATGCTCGAGGAGACATTCGATTTTGAAACGGTACGCAAACAACGCCAAGTATTTTTTTCGTAATTAAGCATGACTTCAACTATTTCAACGTCTAATTTTCATCTTTTACAATTCGACTAGCTTATCTCATGCCATGCAAGACGCTATGTCTTGGAGAGGATGGGTTTTGAAGACCATGAAAATTTTGAAACAAAGAAAATACACCTAAGGACCCATCATGATATGGATTTTGAAGTAAATCTGTGCAATGCTTAGAGCATAACCCATTTTGGTTGCCAAAATTGAGAAACACTTTGCAAAATGTATGGTTTTTATGAGGGTATGATTGTCACCATGGATCTTGTTGATCCTGACATTGAGCAAGACAATATGGACATTTGGGTCCTTGTTGATACGCTTCCGATTCTACCGCAATGTGAGTTTCTCAAACATAGTTATTAACTAATTTATATTGTTTATTTCGAAATAGTTGACAGCTTATTTTCATTGACAGCTTATTTTGATTCTTCAAAGAATGTGCGGAAGATGATAGACAAAACCCACTACACTGATGGCTCCGAATTAACTTATAAGGAGAAAAGTCATCTGATCGCTTATTGTACTTATCTTGAGGATTACAATATCTATTATCGAACTCCTCCAAATTATGGTGAATACGTGCCACTAGTGCACGTGTTGAACCACGATAAATTCTATGGAGATATCCTGGTAAGCTATTTTGCTATTACGACATCCGTGTATCTTTTGCATACTTTTAAAACTAGTACATCATTGCTAACTACGAAGTTATTATTATGTTTTTCAACAGAAATTTCCGATGGATTGTGTGTCTCATCTGATGTATCTAAATGGTCGCCTTAGAGTTCTGAACATACTACCAGGTCAATCTAGGGAGTTCACCTGTGCATATCGGATTTCTAAAACTGGTGATCACATGCTCATCAAAGAATGGAAAAAATGTTTGGATATTCGCAAGGAGGTTCTTGGAAGTAACATTAAGCGAAAGGCAAGAATTGGAGACAGGATAATCTCCATTCTCCATAATGAAGAGTTAGGGGCTATCTTGTTTTTTGCTATTTTACCTTAGAGAATGTAGTAGGTCCTAAGAGAATGTAGTAGGTCCTATGAGGTACAATATGTTTATTATGTGGTATAATGTGTTAGAATTGATGATGAGGAGTACTTGTGATTACGACTAGTGACCAATTTGCTATGTGATGTCATTGATGAAAACGACGATCTTGAGGAGGTGTATTATGATGATAAGTTGTTAATGATATGATGATGATGATGATATTTATTATATCATTGGGTGAAAGAACCACGGATTAGTTTCAAGTGGATGGACATCCACTTGAAACTAGTCCACGGTTCTTTCACCCCGTGATGTAATAACTCATTATGATGTAAAAACAATCTCTAAATTCCTGTTGTATGAAAACTTGTGTAAAGGTGTATGAATACAACATGAAATAAAAAAAACGAAATAATAGTAGTATCGCAGGAAGGAAGAAGCGCTACTACTAATTACCAGTAGCGCCCCTCTGGGAAATCGCTACTACTAAGTTGATTTAGCAGTAGGGTGGGTTGAGGCACGCTACTGCTAAGCTTTAGCTGTAGCGCCGTACCAGTAGCACCCCAGCCCGCGCTACTGATAGGCCTAAAACCCTCGCTGCTGCTAGGCTTTTCCCTAGTAGCGATAAGCCATGGCCACACCAAACAAAGGAATATCACTTTAAAAAAAAGAAAAATACACCATGGAGAATGCACACAAAGTGCCAGCTTGCCGTGCCTAGTAGGAGCGCCCGCTAATTTTCGTTTCCATGGCATACATGCAACTAGAGATTGCCGCGCGCTTCGCCGCGCCGTTCTTCACTCATGATATTAACTCTCTTTTTCCTTAGCATGTCATTTTGATTCTATCTATGTTGGCTTGGATTTTCATTATGTTTTGGCCATACTTTCTTTTCATCAGTATATTGTGCTCGGCTATTGTTTAAAATTGTATTCATTTTGAGAGGAGAGTAGAGTTGATTGATGCGTGATTGTGGTGGTCTTCACATTTCATCGTCAGTGTTAGTTGGTGGTGCTTGTGTGATCCCTCTAAGAGTTCTTATTCCATGTTGAGACCATGGAATTTGCCACTGTAACACTCGTGGGCCGGCCAATGAAACTCTCGCTGACTCAATTTGGCTCATGCTCTGCTCGCCTAGCTTTTTTTCCGCTCGCTACACTGCTAGCTTAGACAAACCAGCTTTTGTTATATTTTATTTTTTTGTTAAATAAAAATGTTTACAACTTTTAAATGTATTTTAGAAAATGTTGCGCATTTAAAACCATATTTTTTTAGAAAAATCATAAATATTAGAAATATTCATTAATTTTAAACTATGTTCATGAATTTGAAAAAAATGCAAATAAAAAAATGTTCATGAACTTTAGAAATATTCAAGAATTAAAAAATGCTGGTGGATTTTAGAAGTGCAGAAAAATACAAATATTTGACAAGACGCATTGTGTCGGTGTTATTTTAGAAGTGATTTGGTATACTTAGAGAGGTATGAGGTAGATACAGGGATCTGTCGTTCAACTTCTCACGAAAGACAAAACAGATGCATGGATAATATGAAGTGTCACGTTTCTAGCCGGTTGGTTTAGTATTTATCTCGGAGTTTGACCGTTGCAATCCCACGACCTCCTACTGCTGAACAGCGGGGTGCATGTGCCTGCCTAAGCCCCGAGCGGGAGAACAGGACATGTGTAAACAAAGTTTGGGCTTAAGGCCGTAAATACATCCTTTTCAATGAATGATATGATGGTCCCACATCCCCAATTCACCCAGGGAGCTCAGAAACTGTAAAGATGCAAGGGCAGGATATGAAAGCTCTGCCGTCTTGATGCATCCAATATCTTAGTTGCATCTATCATCAAATGATTATATCCTTTTTGTTTTGGTTCAGCACGAAGGATCGTGTTCGTTGCCTGGTAGATTCGATCGCATTTTAGATCATCTATGCGTGAACTGCACGTGTGTGCTTCAAATTAGTTAACATTATTATATTCAGAACGTAAAAAAATTCTATCAAGGAATGCTACCTTTCTAAAAGTGGACCTTCTCTAAGCAAGCATCTAAAATATGTACTCGTAATTCATATGGTACTTCATCGCAAAAAATAAAATAAATCATATGGTACTACTCAGCTAGGAAGTCAACTACATTTCTGGATTAGGAAAAGTAACTTTGAGAGAGGGAGAAAAGGAGCACTATACACATATTTGGCCCTTCATATTTTTGATAGAAATAACATTTTAATTTGCAAATCAATTTTTCTATATGCTTCAGATTACATTTCTCTTTTCATTAGTTTTGATGTTCTTGTAGCAACTATTTGCACATTTCTTTTAGCAAGATTCCCGCAGCCACGCATGGGGATCATCTAGTTAGTACTATGATGGCCCATTGAGCGGAGCAGCTGACACATGCCTTTACATTTTTCTCCCTATCTTTCTATATATTATTCCTTCATTTAATTTTTCAGATTTTACTTTGTCAATTATTCAAGGGACATTTACATTTATGCCCCTAATTTGCGCCCACTCTCAGATTTACCCCTAAATTTTATGTGCTCAAATTTGCCCCTAAAAAGCATTTGAAGTCGCAGGAATGCCCTTCCATCTGGTCAAAGTTGTTTGACCAAAACTTCGAAAATTCATAATAAATTCATACGAAGTCAGAAAAATGCAAATAAGATATCCAAATGTTCATACAAACATCACCTATACGCGCATGTCATTTACGTTCCTCAACTACATGTACATTTATTTGCATTCACCCTAAATTGTTTTTTAATGTTATAAACCCTAAAAGGCTTTAAAGAGTGCCTTTGTCATGAACGTAAATGACACGTGCATATAGGTGTTGTTTTTATGAGCATTTTGATATCTTATTTTGCATTCTTCTAACTTCATATGAATTTGTTATGAATTTTCAAATTTTGGTCAAACAACTTTGACCAGATGAAAGGGCATTCCTGTGACTTAAAATGCCTTTTAGGGGCAAATTTGAGCACATCAAAAAGTTAGGGATAAATTTGAGTAGTAGGTTCGAGTTAGGGGCACAAATGTGATTGTCCCATTATTCAAGGAGACTGATGGCTGACGGTCTGATGAACGTGGCCAGAAAACACATGCATGCAAAAATAATGTAGGCATGTTTTAGATTTTGTTTACTACTCCCTCCTTCTCAAAATAAATGTCTCAACTTTGTACTAACTCTAATACAAATTTGTACTAAGCTCAAGACACTTATTTTGGGACAGAGGAAGTATTTTTTAATTTTACTGCTCATCTTAGATCATGTGATCTCGAACTCATGATAGGACTTCCGGATAACATTCTCTTTTTCACAAGGAGACTCGAATCCATTACATAAGACTTTACTAAATCTGTCTTACTAAACCGGCCAAAGAAGAATTGTACTCCCTCCGTTTCATAATATAATAGTGTTTTTGACACTATAGAAGTAGCTCCGACACCCACAAAGCACTATCACTTTACAAGTCATCTCTTAATTTTACAGCTCATGCTATGGGCACACATAACCTAGCCAGTAAGCCACGGAAGCATGCCTTGGTATTTTACATGATTACCACAACACATAGATAAACTTCTTAAAACATGGCTTTATATAGGAAGCTAGGTGGCGTGCTTGTCGTCATTGAGATGGCGCGCTCTCTCCTCCTTCACCTGCGAGGTTCCATGGTCTGAAGAAAAACACAGCTCGATCAGTTATTATTAGGCAAAAAACACAGTTAACTCCATGAAAAACAAACAAAAAGTACCAGGAGGAGGAGGATGGGTCGGACGCGCGTCGGCAGTTGGACGGCTGAACGCCGGCCGGTCGTCGTCCCTCGCGTACACCCCGCCGAAGCCTTCCTCGTCCTCGTCCGACCTCGTGGAGTAGGCCACCCCGAACGGGTGGCTCATCACGTCCCTACACGGACCGACCAACCCAATTACCTGATCATGCAATTTGCAGAGGAAAATTACCTGTACGTGATCAACCAAGTAATATACTCTTTGGTGTTGTGTATGTCGTCGCGCGGGGGCTCCATGCCCGGCGCGGCGGACACGCTCCTCCCTCCACGAGCTGCGACCACCAACCTCGCGGCAGCGAACCGGCCGAGTCCCGTGCTGCTGCCACTGGACAACCTGAACGAGTGCATGAGAGAAAACAGCTCGTCCGGCGACGGTGCCTCCCCAGAGTTGGCCGGGCGAGAGAGCTTACTTATAAGCAGTGGTGCTGGCCGTCACATATGCGATGGCGCGCGCCTGGAATGGCCCGGAGGCGCGTCGTGGCCGCACACGTGAACCCCTTGGAGAAGGAACGAAAGGGACAGGGACAGGGACGGACGAATCGTACCGGGTAGGATCTGAGAATTCTCTAGAACTCGTACGTGTTGGTCGATCGGATTGGGTCTCTTTCATCCTTTGAGAATTTTCTAGGATTCTCAGAGGATTTTAATTGAAATCCTTAATTTTCCATGGATTTCGTTCACCTGCATTTACGGTCTCCTTGGTTCATAGGATACATGAACCTCATAGGAATAGAATTTTTTTTAAAAAAATGAGATGACATATATCTCATTTTAAAAATACAAAAAGTGCATGAACGAACCCCACATGTCCCCCGTGTCACTTCTCGAGGGGTGACACGGGCGGAAGCCCAAATCACCCCCGCTGGCCTCCCCTCTTCTCAACCCTTTCTCATTGCCATCGTTGGATGAATTGGCCAACGAAGCCCATCGCATGGGGCTTCTTCATCTCACGATGGCACGGATGCTCCCTCTATGTGGGTATGGCGCCCGTTCTTGCGGCGGCCACGACGGTTGGTCTCGGTGCGTCAGCTGGTGGCATCCGACGCAGATCCAGCGCTCTCGGACCAGATCTGGCGTGTGGCTCAGAGTGGCGGCCCCAGGCACTGCGTCTTCGGCCCGGGGCGACCTCTTCATCGGTGTTGTGGCAGCCATTTAGGGCTACTGGGTTGGCGGCCCCTGCCAGACCTGAGGAGCGGGCGGCGCCTGCACCACCTTCTCTCGTGGCTCCTTCTCCTGCTCTGGTGACCGTTGTGGCATCGCTGGCCATGGGCCGACACCCACCGAGTCCGCCATCTCTAGCGCCATGCACGACCAGCTCCACAGCTGGCCCACCAGACAAGGGTTCCACGCGGCGACGGGTGGCTCCTCCTCCACCTCCTCTTGCACCTCCTCCTGGACGTCGAGGTCCAGCTCCGTGATGGTCACGTCGCCGGTCGCAGAGAGGGCCAGCGCGGTTTGCAGGCCCTCCCATTGTCGCTCATCATGGGTGGCCATGGAGTCCTCCATGACACGCCTCATGAGGCAGGCCTCCACCTCCTCGGTCATGGGCGGCGGCGGCGGGGACGGGGACGGAGAAGGCGTCGGCGTGATGCCGCACACACGCGTACGACCAAGCGTTTGGGGCAGGCTGTTAGCACGAGGATGACGGGGGCGGCACGGGCTCGGAGGACGATTGGAAAAAAAGATTACCGCCGCAGGTCGTGCTCATCGTGGAGCCACGTACCCCACTGAAGTGAATCCATGGCGTACCTGGGGTCGTCCAGCAGATCCGATGGCAGGCGGGCGCGGTGTCGTTTGATCTCGTTGCGGTAGCCGCGGCCGCTGGCGGGCACTGGTGGGATGGGCACGCGGTCCGCGGAGAGATCACTAGTAGAAAAAGGACCTAATATGAGACACATTAGTGCCGGTTTGATTTTGAGCCGGCACTAATGTGTCCAATAGTGCCGGTTCCAACGGCTAGCCGACCGTTCTCATTAGTACCGGTTCGTGGCGAACCTTTAGTACCGGTTCATGCCACGAACCGGTACTAAAGAGAGTGGTGGAAGGGTGTTGTCAGTCTGGGCCCCTCCAGCACCTTTAGTACCGGTTCGTGGCACGAACCGGTACTAAAGGTCGACCTACATAAACCCTTCGACCACCCGAGCCACTCTGTTCTTTCCCTTTCCCCTCACTTCCTCTGTTCTTCCCCTCTCTTCCTCGAGCTCCTCACAAATTTTGCCCAAAATTTGTCAAGATTTGAAGGCCCCCATCCATTCAAATGATCACAAAGGTTAGCAACTTTGTCCTTTCAACTCTCATTGCTAGATTAGCTCTTGCAATGCTTTGTATAGTGATTAATTTGGGAGGAATTATATTTGCTAGTATTTGATTTATATGCAATTTGAGGTAAAAAATAACACTTAGTTTGCATATGTAAGTGTGGTTTACTTAGTGCCTTCTAAATCTCCGTCGTAACCACCGTCGATCGCCCGCACCGTCCCGTCGCCGGCCCCACCTTATGGTGAGGCACTTGTTCATGAATGTTTTACATTACCAAATTGATGTTTGTGTGATTTGGATATATAGTTACTCGTATAATTATCTTATCCATACGTTGTTTGTTATACATAGTGCCATGGTTTTGATATCCGTCCCTGTCGGCCCTCGTCCTTGTTATGATTCGGATGTGGTATATTCTCATTTAAAACTAGTTGTTGCATTTCGTGTTTATGACAAATTATGCCCATCAAGTTGACATAGATATTTTTATCTAGGAGGTATGTGAACCGGAAATTCCAACCGACCCTATTGTCGAGAGGTTAAATTTAGTTGAAAGAGAAAACGAGTATTTGAAAGAAAAATTGAAAAGAATTGAGGGGAGAAGATGGAATTGGAGTTGCATGTTGCCGATGTCGTCGATGATCACAAGATCAAGATGGAGAAAATGAGGTTGAAGATTAGAAAGATTAGAAAATATGCCATTGATAGTGTGGCTTGGTATCATTATGCTGTTGGATCAATTGTTACCTTAGTTGCGATCTTCATCGCATTTGTTGTTGCATTTAAATTCTTTAGCTAGAGAGTTATTTGTATGTTGCATTTAATTAAGTGTTGTATATGAACTTTATGTATGAACTTGTATTAATTTGGTCTATTCGATGTTGTGTAATGAAGATGAGCCGACAATGGATGTATGATGACAGATGCTCTCCCAAGTTCATTAATGGCATGCATACTTTTCTGCTTGCCGCTGAGGCAAACAAGTGGGCAGATGGTTTTATGCCTTGTTCATGTGCTGGCTGTAAGAATGGTCACAGTTACTCTACGTCAAGAACCATTCACATCCACCTATTTGAGTCCGGTTTCATGCCCCACTATAATGTTTGGACCAAGCACGGAGAAATAGGGGTTATGATGGAAGACAATGAAGAAGAAGAGGATGACGACGGCTATCCTGGCCATGGGTTCCCTGAATACAATGATACAACAATGGGGGAAGAAGCTGAGCCGGCAATGCAGAAAGAAGCTGAAGAAGAGGCATCAGATGAGCCCGCTGATGATCTAGGTCGGGCCATTGCCGATGCAAAGAAAAACTGCGCAAGTGATCTGGAGAGGACGAAGTTGCAGCGCATGTTAGAGGATCACAAGAAATTGTTGTACCCGAATTGCCAAGCTGACAAAAAAAAGTTGGGCACCACACTTGAATTGCTGCAATGGAAGGCAGAGAATGGTGTATCTGACAAGGGATTTGGAAAGTTGCTGGTAATGATAAAGAATATGCTTCCAAAGGACAACGAATTGCCCGAGAGTACGTATGAAGCAAAGAAGGTTGTCTGCCCTCTAGGGTTAGAGGTGCAAAAGATACATGCATGCCCTAATGACTGCATCCTCTACCTGGTGAGTACGAGGATTTGAATGCTTGCCCGGTATGCGGTGCATTGCATTATAAGATCAATCACGATGACCCTGGTGATGTCGAGGGTGAGTGCCCCAGGAAGAAGATTCCTGCCAAGGTGATGTGGTATGCTCCTATAATACCACGGTTGAAACGTTTGTTCCAAAAAAAAGAGCATGCGAAGGCGATGCGGTGGCACGCAGAAGACCGTAAGAAAGACGGAAAGTTGAGAGTACCGGCTGACGGTTCGCAGTGGAGAAAAATCAAGAGAAAGTACTGGGAGGAGTTTGCAGGTGACCCAAGGAACATATGGTTTGGTCTAAGCACAGATGGCATTAATCCTTTTGGGGAGCAGAGCAGCAACCATAGCACGTGGCCTGTGACTCTATGTTTGTATAACCTTCCTCCTTGGTTGTGCATCAAGCGGAAGTTCATTATGATGCCAGTGCTCATCCAAGGCCCTAAGCAACCCGGCAACGACATTGATGTGTACCTAAGGCCATTAGTTGAAGAACTCTTACAACTATGGAATGGAGCAGGTGTACGTGCGTGGGATGAGCACATGGGGGAAGAATTTGACCTAAAGGCATTGCTGTTCGTGACCATCAATGATTGGCCTGCTCTCAGTAACCTTTCAGGACAGACAAACAAGGGATACCGCGGATGCACGCACTGTTTGGATGATACCGACAGTATATATTTGAATAGTTGTAAGAAGAATGTGTACCTGGTACATCGTCGATTTCTTCCGAGCAGGCATCCCGTAAGAAAGAAAGGCAAGCATTTCAAAGGCGAGGCGGATCACCGGATAAAGCCTCACCACCATACTGGTGCTGATGTACATGATATGGTCAAGGATTTGAAGATAATCTTTGGAAAGGGTCCTGGCGGACAACCTGTTCCGAAGGACGCTGACGGACGCGCACCCATGTGGAAGAAGAAATCTATATTTTGGGACCTACCATATTGGAAAGACCTAGAGGTCCGCTCCGCAATCGACGTGATGCACGTGACGAAGAATCTTTGCGTGACCCTGCTTGGCTTTTTGGGCGTGTATGGGAAGACAAAAGATACACCAGAGGCACAGGAGGACCAGCAACGTATGCACGAAAAAGACGACATACATCAGGGTCAGGCCAGCTACGCTCTTACCAAAGAAGAGAAGGAAATCTCCTTCAAATGCCTGCTCAGCATGAAGGTACCGTCTGGCTTCTCGTCGAATATAAAGGGAATAATAAATATGGCAGAGAAAAAGTTCCAGAACCTAAAGTCTCATGACTGCCACGTGATTATGATGCAACTCCTTCTGGTTGCATTGAGGGGGCTTCTACCAGAAAACGTTCGATTAGCCATTGTGAAGCTATGTGCATTCCTCAATGCAATCTCTCAGAAGGTAATCGATCCAGAAATCATACCAAGATTACAGAATGATTTGGTGCAATGTCTTGTCAGTTTCGAGTTGGTGTTCCCACCA